ATGACCAGGAGGTGTCTACGGACAACGCTGGCTCTTCGGCTTAGAAATGGAGATGTGTACTAACCTCCAGAGTCGGACACGACTGGACTTAATGTCAGGAGAAAACCTTTTTTGTTTACCTTTACTATCTGTGAATTGTAAGCCACTCGAGTCCATGCTCCATGCAGTCATGCTGGCCACATGACCAGGAGGTGTCTAAGTGCCTCGGCGGGAAGGCAAACAGGCACTCCATGCAGTCATGCTGGCCACATGACCAGGAGGTGTCTACGGACAACGCCGGCTCTTCGGCTTAGAAATGGAGATGAGCACAACACCCCAGAGTTGGACACGACTGGACTTAATGTCAGGGGAAAACCTTTACGTTTACCTTTACTATCTGTGAATTGTTGTAAGCCACTCGAGTCCATGCTCCATGCAGTCATGCTGGCCACATGGCCAGGAGGTGTCTAAGGACAACCGGCTCTTCGGCTTAGAGATGGAGATGAGCACTAACCCCCAGAGTCGGACACGGCTGGACTTAATGTCAGGGGAAAACCTTTATGTTTACCTTTACTATCTGTGAATTGTTGTAAGCCACTCGAGTCCATGCTCCATGCAGTCATGCTGGCCACATGACCAGGAGGTGTCTACGACAACGCCGGCTCTTCGGCTTAGAAATGGAGATAAGCACTAACCCCCAGAGTCGGACACGACTGGACTTAATGTCAGGGCAAAACCTTTACGTTTACCTTTACTATCTGTGAATTGTTGTAAGCCACTCAAGTCCCTTTGGGGAGAGGGAGTGAGGTATAAATAAAGATGATGGTGATTATTATTATTATTATTATTATTATTATTATTATTATTATTATTATCCTTCACCAAAAGAAAAAAATTAATCAAAACAATGTTGTCCTTGTCCTCAAATGACTCCAAGCACCATCTGCATCACAAAGGAGCATTTTCACCAAGATCTGAGTCATGTTATTTCCTGGTTCATGGTGTTCACCACGAGTTACTTCGTGTTCTCTTTAAAATATTCAAGACCGATTTCCAGGCCTAAATGTGCCCAGACTCTAGTGGTTTGCTGCCTCTAACCTTCGAAAACAAAAGGGAAAAATGTATTATCAAAGGTTTTCATGGCCAGAATCCCTGGGTTGTTGTGTGTTTTCTGGACTGTGTGGCCATGTTCCAGAAGCATTCTCTCCTGACGTTTCGCCTGCATCTATGGCAGGCATCCTCAGAGGTTGTGAGGTCTGTTGGAAACCTAGGAAAATGGGGTTTATATATCTGTGGAATGATGTCCAGGGTGGGAAAAAGAACTCTTGTCTGTAGGTATCACTATAAGAATTGCAACATTCACACTTGCCTATACATCCAAATTAGCATTACAAGCCTATCTCTATTTTCTGTCATTATAGCATATGATTTTCACCTCATCATTTCTCTTGTACTGTATGACTTTTAAAAGTGAAGGAGTTAGTGAAATTTCAAAAGCTTGTGTGATGTTCCATGTATTGTCGAAGGCTTTCATAGCTGGAATCACGGGGTGTTGAGGGTTTTTCAGGCTATATGGCCATGTTCTAGAAGCATTCTCTCCTGACGTTTCGCCTGCATCTATGGCAAGCATCCTCAGAGGTTGTGAGATCTGTTGAAACTAGGAAAATTGGGTTTATATATGTGATCACAGACAGCTAATCACCTCTCAACAAAGGATTTCTCCAAGCAGTAAGAAATCACACCTTGAAACTGCTAGGCCATTAAATGCTAATCACGGTGGCCAATTGAAACATTCACACCTAGCTACAATAGACAAAAGTTCTTTCTCCCAACCTAGGCAGAATGGGGTTGGACTGGATGGCCCAAGAGGTCTCTTCCAGCTCTATGATTCTATGATTCCCCCAGGCAGGAAGCAGCCAAGCTTTGAAGCTGCAAAGTCATTAAATGCTAATCAAGGTGGCCAACTCAAACATTCACACTTGCCTCAAACAGACAGTTCTTTCTCCCATCCTGGTTATTCCACAAATAGATAAACCCCATTTTCTTAGTTTCCAACAGACCTCACAATCTTTGAGATTGCCTGCCATAGATGTGGGTGAAACTTCAGGAGACAATACTTCTGGAACATGGCCATACTACCCGGAAAACTCATAACAACCCATCTTCATAAAGGTTGAGAAATCATTGACTCATACTCATAGAACTGGAAGAGACCCCAAGGGCCATCCAGTTCAACACCATTCTGTCAGGCAGGAAGGCACAATCAAAGCCCTCCCGACAGATGGCCATCCAAGCAATGTCTGAAAACCTCCACAAAGAGGGAGACTCTGTTGGACTCTAAGGCGGCATATTCCTCTGTCAAGTAGAGTACCCACCCTCAAGAAGTTGGGTTGTTGTGTGTTTTCTGGGCTGTATGGCCATGTTCCAGAAGCATTCTTTTCTGATATTTCTCCTGCATCTATGTCAGGCATTCTCAGAGGTTGTGTTGTCTGTCCTAGAGCGCAATGGCCTGCTTCCCTTGCAGACAGACAGCCTTGCAAAGAGCGCAGTCACTTAAGTGGCTTTGCAATGATAGGCGTCTCGCGGCAGTCCCCTCCACTAAAGCTGCGATAATCTCGCTAATGGAGGCAATCATTAATCGGCTCTTAATCTACGCAGCAATGGGTTTTTAAGAGCATATCTTGTTAAGACGCTCTCTGCCTGGACACAGATAGGAATGGCTGAAGGAAGCATCCTGGTCAGCAGAAGTGTTTGTAGACCGCTTTGGCCAATGGTTTCCAATCAATGGTCAACTAATCAACCAATTTATCAATACTTTGCTCTAAATGGCAAAGGGGAGAGAAAGGATTGCATAAATATATGCCCAGATCTCCCCCTCAGTCTTAAACATTATGGTCTATATACTTAAAATGCAGGAATTGAGATAATTGGGAACGTTTTCCTACCATCAATGTAATCCATGCTTTTATAATTATATTTGTCTTAAAGCAAGTTGTTCAGGACTCCAGGAAAGACCTGACCAGCACAAAATATGAAAGGACTATTGATTCTCTTGAAATGTCAACTATATTTCTATTAATGAGGCTAGAAAAGCATTTGCCCTTTTTGATGCAGCAGCACTCTGCTGGCTCATGTTTAATTATGACCAAAATAATCCCAAGCTTGGGTTGCTGTGAGTTTTCCAAACTGTTTGGCCATGTTCCAGAAGCATTCTCTCCTGACATCTATGACAGGCTCTTCATTGTTTTGAAATTTCTCCTCATAGAGATGTTCAATGTGTTGTCGAAGGCTTTCATGGTCAGAATCACTAGGTTGCTGTGAGTTTTCTGGGCTGTATGGCCATGTTCCAGAAGCATTCTCTCCTGACGTTTCGCCCACATCTATGGCAGGCATCCTCATTGTTTTGAAACAGTTTCTCACAGTAGAGATGTTCAATGTGTTGTCGAAACTTTCATGGGTGGAATTACTGGGTTGCTGTGAGTTTTCCCGGCTGTATGACCATGTTCCAGAAGCATTCTCCCCTGATGTTTCACCCACATCTATGGCAGGTAGCCTCATTGTCTTGGAACAGTTTCTCCCGGTAGAGATATTCAATGTGTTGTTGAAGGCTTTCATGGCTGGAATCACTGGGTTGTTGTGAGTTTTCTGGGCTGTCTGGCCATGCTCCAGAAGCATTCTCTCCTGACGTTTCGCCCACACCTATGGCAGTATCCTCATTGTTTTGAAACAGTTTCTCACAATAGAGATGTTCAATGTGTTGTCGAAGGCTTTCATTGCTGGAATCATTGGGTTGCTGTGAGTTTTCCAGTCTCTATGGCCCGGGCTGTATGGCCATGTTCCAGAAGCATTATCTCCTGACGTTTCACCCACATCTATGGTAGGCATCCTCATTGTCTTTGAACTGTTTCTCCCCATAGAGATGTTCAATGTAATGTCAAAGGCTTTTATGGCTGAATTCACTGAGTTGCTGTGAGTTTTCCTGTTGTATGGCCATGAAGGGTGCTTACCATGGATGTGGGCAAAACGACAGTAGAGAATGCTTCTAGAAAATGGAGATACAGCCATTTATTTACAGCAACCCAATGATTCCAGCCATGAAAGCCTTTGACAATCCCAACGTTTTGTCAAAGGCTATCATGGCTAGAATCACTGGGTTGTTGCGCGTTTTCCAGGCTGTATGGCCATATTCCAGAAGCATTCTCTCCTGACGTTCCACCTGCATCTATGCAGGCATCCTCAGAGGTTGTGAGGTCTGTTTTCCTAGTTTCCAACTGTCCTCACAACCTCTGAAGATGTCTGCCATAGATGTGGGCAAAACGTCAGGAGAGAATGCTTCTGGAACAAGGCCATACAGCCCGGAAAACTCATAACAACCCAATCCCAAGGTTCTTTTCATATGCAGGACTGTTGAGTCATCCTATACCTGTGGACCTATAGCGCACCTCCTGCAAATTTCAATCACTTTTCAAGTTAAGTCCCTATTACACCTCCTATAGAGAGAGAAAAAAGGCAGGATATCATCACCATCATCATCATCATCATCATCCAACTAGGCCTCATAGGACCCAACCAATATTATCCAAGGAAGACAGGGTTCAAACAGATGCATTACAAACATAAAACTGTGTTTAATATCATGATGATATTAAAAGTAAACATGAAAACTACATTATAAACAATGCTCAGTCTAGACTCTGCTGGAAGAGTGTCACTTTAGGTAATGTGGCAATGCAAACACTCTTACATACCATTAAATTGGAATTTAATTACCGCATAGTTAAGCACCTCGACTAGAGATTAGGATCAATGCCACGCAGCTATAACTCTGGGCGTGTGGTCAAAGATTGCAGTTTTGCAACTGAATCAGCCACAATCCACTTAGATGACACATTCACCTCCTTGCTGGCATTGCCTCAACTCCCCTTCTTGTTATCTTTCCAAGGAAAATAGAGTTAGTTTTGGAAGGAAAACGGAAGCAGCATCAAATCAAATAGACAGCCAGACAGGCTCTGTTTACTTACCAATCGTGTATTAAGCACAGGGAAAAGCAACGCCAAAAGCGCCCCATTAAGCATGTGCATCTGTAGTCTGTGAAAAGAAAAGAACAAAGTCACCTCGGAAATGCAGAAATATTCATGTCAAACTAGGTTGCCACATTAAGACATAGTTTAGCATGATTTAAGCTTGCCTACCACTACATCCAGGACTAGAAGCATATTCTACACCAGGACGGGCAAACTTTCTAACTTGGGGGCCGCATGCTAGAACTCCCTGCTAGGTGGACTGGCTGCCTGATAATGGATGGAAGGAAGGAAGGGAAGCAGGAAGGAAAGAGGGAAGGAAAAGAAGACAAAAGGGAAGGAAGGATGAAACTGTGGAAGGGAAAGATGGAAGGAAGGAAAAGGAGGAAGGAAAAGAGAAGGAAGGAATGATGAAAAGGAAGGGAGGAAGGGAGGGAGGGGGAGGAAGGAAGGAAAGAGAGAAGGAAGGAAGAATGAAAGGGTGGAAGGGAAAAATGGAAGGAGAGAGAGAGGGAAGGAGGGAGGAAAGAGGGAAGGAAGGAAAGACAAAGAGGAAGGAAGGAAGGAAGGAAGGAAGGAAGGAAGGAAGGAAGGAAGGAAGGGAAGGAAGGAAAGAGAAGAAGGAGAAGGAGGAAGGAAAGAGAGAAGGAAGGAGGAAGAAGGAGGGAGGGGAGGGAGGGAGGGAGGGAGAAGGAAGGAGAGGGAAGGAAAGGAAAAGGAAGAAGAATGAAAGGGTGGAAGGGAAGATGGAAGGAGAGAGGGAAGAGGAGAGGAAAGAGGGAAGGAAGGAAAAAAGAAGGAAGGAGGAAAGAATGAAGGAAGGAAGGAAGGAGAGAAGGAAAGATGAAAAGGAAGGGAGAGATGGAAGGAAGGAAAGGAGGAGGAAGGAAGGAGGAAGGAAAGGAAGGAAGGAGGGAGGAAGGAAAGAGAGAAGGAAGGAGAAAAAGGGAGGAAGGAGAAAGGAGGAGAGAGGGAAGGAGGGAGGAAAGAAGGAAGGAGGAGAAGAAGAAAGGAAGGAAGGAAGGAAGGAGAGGAAGGAAGAAGGAAGGAGGAAGGAAAGAGAGAAGGAAGGAAGGAAAGGGAAGGAAGGAAGGAGAAGGGAGAGAGGGAGGAGAGAGGGAAGAGGAAGGAGAAGCAAAAGGGAAGGAAGGAAGAAAGAAAGGAAGAGGGAAGGAAGGAAAGATAAAAGAGAAAGGAAGGGATTGGAAGGGAAGGGAGGAGAAGGTGGGAGGAAAGAGAGAAGGAAGGAAAGACAAAAGGGAAGGAAGGAAGGAAGGAAGGAAGGAGGAAAGAGGGAAAGAAATAGGAAGGAAAGATAGAAGGAAGGAATGATAGGATGGTGAAGAAAGAAAAGGGCCTGGGTTTGCCCATACCTTTTCTACACAGCAGAATGAATGCAGTTGGGCCCCACTTTAGCTGTGATGGCTCAATGCATGGAAACATATGAGTTGTAGTTTTACCAGGTCTTTGCCCTTCCCTGCTGAAAAGTGCTGGTGTTTTACCAAACTACAACTTCCAGGATTCCAGAACATTGAGCAATGGCAGTTAAAGTAGAATCAAACTGTATTAATTCTACAGTGGCACAACGGGTTAAGTTAGGAATTGTGGGAGTTGGAGTCTCAGTAACGGCGCTCCATGCAGATCTGAAGGTTGGCAGGACAGAGTGAGCTCCCGCTGTTAGCCCCAGCTCCTGCCAACCTAGCAAATGCGCGTAGATCAATGGAAACTGCCTCGGCGGGAAGACAAACAGGCACTCCATGCAGTGACACAACTGGGAGGTGTCTACGGACAACGCAGGCTCTTCGGCTTGGAAATGTAGATGCGCCAGAAATGAAAGGGGAAGCCTTTGCCTTTGTCTGTGTATTTGTGTTTCATTGTATCAAGGCATTGAATCTTTGCCAGAGTGGATTATATATGTGCTATAATCCACTCTGAGTCCCCTCAAGAAGATAGAGTGGAATATAAATAAATGTTATTATTGTCATTGTTGTTGTTACAAAGGTAATGTAAACAAGTCTTTCACTTTCTTTCAATGTCAACTTTGAATCTTCACCAATCTTGTGGAAACTATGATTTATGAATCTGGAAGGTCTCTATTGACTTCAGCACCTATTTTAGTTAATACAAGGAGTACAAAGAGCAGTCTATTTGCTTAAATCGTTTGCATAATTCACTAAAAGCATCATCACCTGAAGAGGATCATTGCAAAATGGCAGGGAGGGCAGGCCAGCAGGAAAATCTGAAATATGAAAAGAAGAAATAGTTGCCATTAGGTTTCTCATCCAGCAAGAAAAACATTTTGCTTTCGTTCCACATTTTTGTTCTATGCGTTCAAGGCAATTACAGTTTGGCTTATCACGTTAAGGGCGCATTGGCGCAATGAGATAATAATGGGAGACTCTTGCACCAGTGTGATTCAATTTCCTGGATCACTAAATCGAGTCCTGTGCAGACAGAAAATGTACCCAAATGAATCAGACCATGTTGCAGTTATGCCTTCCTTTTAAAAAAGGCAAAACAAAAGCACAGGTTGGATCTGAACTACCATATAATCCCGTTTCCAAATCCAGAGTATCTGCTTTGAACTGGATTATGAGTCTACACTCCCATATAATCCGGTTCCCGAATCCAGATTATCTGCTTTGAACTAGATTATATGGGTCTACACTACTATATAATCCAGTTTNTTCCAACAGACCTCACTATCTCCGAGGATGCTTGCCATAGATGCAGGCGAAACGTCAGGAGAGAATGCCTCTCAACCATGGCCATATCGCCTGAAAAACCTACAACAACCCAATAATAATAATAATAATAATAATAATAATAATAATAATACCCTACTATGCCATCTAAAAGACTCCAGAGAGATGGCCAACTGGCTCTGTTTTAGTTCTGGACTTGCTTTACAGCAATTGAAATCAACTCAAGGCAAAAGATGAAGGTGGGAGACATGCAAAGCAACCAGGACATATTAAAAGCAACGAATACAATAGAAAACAATGTCCTTTGTGACTTTCCCTATCAAATCAGTCAGAAGGTATGCTTCCTCTTTCCTTTCTAAAAGATTGACATATTGTCTACTGATATGTAGACATCCGTAGTGATACCAAGGTGCTTGTCTATAAAGCTATTGCCCTCCCAACCCTGCTATATGCCTGCGAAACGTGGACTGTCTACAGACGTCACATGCAACTCCTGGAACGATTCCATCAGCACTGCCTCTGGAAAATCCTGCAAATCTCTTGGGAAGACAAGCAGACAAATGTCAGCATGCTGGAAGAAGCAAAGACCACCAGCATTGAAGCGATGGTCCTCTGGCATCAACTCCACGTTGTCCGGATGCTTGACCACCATCTCCCAAAGCAGTTGCTCTACTCCGAACTCAAGAACGGAAAACGGAATGTTGGTGGGCAGGAAAAGAGATTTAAAGATGGGCTCAAAGCCAATCTTAAAAACTCTGGCATAGACACTGAGAACTGGGAAGCCCTGGCCCTTGAGCACTCCAGCTGGAGGTCAGCTGTGACCAGCAGTGCTGCAGAATTCGAGGATGCACGAGTGGAGGGTGAAAGAGAGAAACGTGCCAGGAGGAAGGCGTGTCAAGCCAACCCTGGCTGGGACCACCTTCCACCTGGGAACCAATGCCTTCACTGTGGGAGAAGATGCGGGTCAAGAATAGGGCTCCACAGCCACCTACGAATCCACAAGAAAACCCATCATGGAAGACCATCTTACTCGTCCAACGAGGGATCGCCTAAGTATATATATATATATATATATATATATATATATATATATATATACTAGCTTTACCCGGCCACGCGTTGCTGTGGCATACTCTGTGGCAACCCCCTTCTACCGTCATGTTGGAAAAGCACAATCAAAGCACTTCTGACAGATGGCCAAGCAGCCTCTGGTTGATAAGAATAATAGAATGGTAGGGTAGGAAGAGACCTCCAAGGGCCATCCAGTCCAGCCCGTTTTGGGAAATGTATTTTTGTTGTTTCTTTGTCAGTGTTGATGTGGAGATTGTCTGACTTGCCTACTCTGGAACATGCAACACATAATTGTCCTTCTTTAGGGTTCCCTTTCAAATCTATGATACTATATTTGTGTGTGTGTGAATCATATATCTATCTATCTATCTATCTATCTATCTATCTATCTATCTATCTATCTATCTATATCTATTACTGGATTGCTCTTTGTCAAGAGGGCTTTGATTATGGTTTCTTGTCCTGGTAAAGGGAGTTGGACTGGATGGCCTTAAGTATTTTCTGAGGGTCATGGGGGTTCTGTGTGGGAAGTTTGCCCCGATTCTGTCGGTGGGTTTCAGAATGCTCTGATTATAGGTGAACTATAAATCCCAGTAACTACAACTCCCAAATGTCAAGGTCTGTTTCCCCCCATACTCCATCTGTGCTCATATTTGGGCATATTGAGTATTCGTGCCAAATTTGGTCCAGATCCATCATTGTTTGAGTCCATAGTGCTCTCTAGATGTAGGTGAACTACAACTCCAAAACTCAAGGTCAATGTCCACCAAGCCCTTCTAGTGTTTTCTGTTGGTCATGGGAGCCCTGTGTGCCATGTTTGGTTCAATTCCATTGTTGGTGGAGTTCAGAATGCTCATTGATTACAGGTGAACTGTAAATCCCAGCAACTACAACTCCCAAATGCCAAAATCATAATTTTTGAGTGATGGTCACTCCTTGTGTTGTGAGACATTTTGTTGCCAAGTTTGGTGTGATTTCGTTCATTGGTTCTTTTGTTTTTAAGGTACTCATTATGCACAGAGCGCGCATATATATATATATATATATATATATATATATATATATATATATATACACACACATACACACACACACACACACACATACATACACACACACACACACACACACACACACACATGCATATATGTATATGTATATGTATATGTATATGCATTCCAGCAACTGTTTTTCTTCTAAACGTTACAATGTCTACCATTTCGGTCAAATGGCCCCATTCCATCAAGTGCCGGATCTGGCACCAGATCCATTAACTTGCCAGATTCAGTAACCTGTGCACCACCGATGCAAGTTAAGTCTGTTTTTGCATACATCTGCATGCCTTGGAGCTGACCTCCATGGTGAAAAGGGGCTGGAATTTCACTTTTCTGGGGCAATCGAATCTTAATTCGAAGTCCATCTCCAGATCCCACATTTCAGGCCATAGAATCATGGAAACTGAAGCCACGTCCTTCCTTGGATGTAGGCCCTGGTTACCGTTCAAAAAATGTATATACAAAACAAAACAAAAGTAATGCATTTATTGCTAGGCGGGTGGGCAATCCACCAAAGGAAGGAGAAGGACAGGCTACTGAGCAGAGCAGACCATCTTGCTTTTATTGCACAAAGGAAAAGATTGCCAGAAAAGCTTCAAATCCACTCTTTCAACTTTATAGCCGGCACCGTCCTTATTGCATTTTTAAATTGTGTTCTCAGTGACTTTTTAGTAGTATTTTATATATCTGGTTTTTGAGGGTTTTTTTAATACTGAATTATTAATTGGTTGAGACACTTGGACATCTGACAAGGGTATAAAAATAACAAAGCTAACCATATTGCTTCTTTGTGCAATCTGGACCCAATGCTAATCCTCCCTCTTTGTTTGGAAGTTTTGCAAGGGCATTATAGAAACTGCATGATGTGGTCAGTATAGATCAGGCATGGGCCAACTACAGCCCTCAAGGTGTTTTGGACGTCAACTCCCACAACGTGGGTATGCAGATGATCCCTTGATGGAGGTTCCAAGAGGACAAAGGCATGGGCCAACTTCGGCCCTCAAGATGTTTCAGACGTCAACTCCCACAATCATTGATATATATATTCTGTTCGTCGTGAGAGTTCTGTGTGCCATATTTGGTTCAATTCCATCATTGGTGGAGTTCAGAATGCTCC